CCCATCTTCCTGGAATACTTGGTGATTCTCCCTCAGGCCCTGTGCTTTCCGCCTTGGGGCTTTGCTTGTGCGAGGTTCCCTTTGTGGGACAGCTCCTGACAAGGTTCACTGGTTGAAATTGTCACTGGCTTTCTTTCAAAGCCCAGCTCACATGCCCCATGCCTACGTGAAGCCTTTGCGATTCTCCCAAACCGATGGTGACTTTCCCATCTCTGACTGCGCTCCTGTGTGTCATCTGCCTTAGTTGTGTTCTAAATTGGTGGTTTGCACGCTTGGCTTAACCGCTTAGTCTGTGAACTCTGTAAGGCCAGGGACTGGGTCTTACCCGTCGTTGTCACCTTGCACGTAGTTGGTGCCCAGAATATAACTTGCGGATTGATGAGTTGCATAACTCAGCTACCACTCAGATTTTGTTCCTGAAAATAAACTTTCAGCAACTTTACACTCTTCACATTTTCTCCTCCGTAAGTGCCTAACACCAGCCATTTCAAAAATTTCATCTCTCTGCGATTGTGTCCCTCATCTTGGGCTTTTGAAACATGTATTTTTCTGAGCCAGGATTGCGCATTTGTGTGTTGGCAGCTTGAGAGCTACGACTGTGAATAATGAGTCAATTATCATCCAGCCTCGGGGAAAGCACAATTATTCTCGACTGGCCAGGCTGAGGTAATCCTCCTCTCCCTGTGCCCTCTCAAATGAAGGACATAAAACGGTTGGAATTCAGAGCACTGCAAAGGGAATTTAGACAAAACATTTGTCTGCTGAATTTAGCTTCTTTGGATTTATTCTGATTTATGATTGATTGGTTTTTAAATTGCTTATTTAATCCTAATGACTATCGCTCCAGGGGAGGCCAGATACCAAGGAGCATGTGATCAAGAAACAGTGAAGTGAACTAGTTTGGCTGGACAAATCAGGAGGAAATGTTATTGTCCAGAGAGTCATTGCTCTAGGCTAGGGGTGTAATGTGATAGTCACCCCTGACTTTGAAAGTACCCAGCCTTGTTGTAAGCGTGATTGCTTATCCCCTATTCTCTTTGCAGAAGGCTTTTTGCAACTACCCGGGGTGGCACAAATTGTCCCCCATGAATTTTTGTTTCCTTCTAGCAACATGTTCAGTATCTCTTGGCGACTGCGAACGAGCTCTTGAATTACGTGGCTGTTGACCATGGTGCAGAACAGACCCTCAGGGGAGGCTGGAGGGACTTGGTCCTGGGCTCTGACGTTGGTTGTGCTGATCTGTGGAAACTCTCCCGCAGATGTGGTGGTGCTCCTTATCATGTAGTCTGGCTTTCGTGTGGATGAATTTGAATTTTTAAAAAGTTTCTTTCAAAATCGAGTTTTCTGAAAGTGATCACTTTTATCTGGAAGATATATAATCAATACATGATTAGTCAAGATTAGATTAGATCAAGGCATCAGTAGTTTCAAGATTTCCAAGGAGCGTAACTTCTCCTTTGGCCTGAGATTAGACACTGTAGGTATAGTTGGTGGCCTTGTGAGGGGGATCCGTTGGAAGCTCATCTGTTTGGTATCAAAAGAAAATTGAAATTCCGTTGCTTCGGAATGATGAAACCTTTAGAAAAAACCCTTGTTTCATCTGTATTGAAGTTTTGACTCAGAAATGCCCAAAGAAATGCTCTTTCAGGTCCCAGTAACCTACTTGTTCTTGAAATATTGCCGTTAGACTTCTAAAGTGTATTATGTCTGACACGTATTTCAAAGCAAGAAACATTAGGGATCAGATGAAAGATAGAGAAGGACTCTGATGAAAAACAGAAACAGAAGCAGAAGAGACGAGACGCTTGGGTGGCAGGCGTGGGCCGCCCCCAGGATAGCTCTGGGAAGCAGCGTCCGGCTCTAATCAGGCTCTAGGCCACTTCGGATTCTGGGCTGTGCCAACATCTGCCATTTTGACATTATCATATTGAAAAAGAACTTCTTTCCTATCTCATTCTGCCAAGAGATTTATTATTTGCTGTTTTAAAAAAAATGATAAAAGCCTTTATAGGAAGCCCGTCTGGGCCTCTGGAGTGATGTGGCATGGAGCCTTGTGAAACTGCTTTCAAGGGCTGAGGAGCAGGCTGCAACTGTAGGTTCAGTCAGAGAGACGACAAGTTCTTTTCTGGATCTTCTGGTATTTAAAGAATGAAAGCTTGAGGTTTATAGAAGGAAGAAGTCTTAAGAGTGAACAAGAAATTTTGTTAGCTCTGAGACTCCAACAGTAGTTCAACACCAGCATCAGAAGCTGAGACTTCATCCTATTTTCCTCTTTCTTTCGAAGGAGTTTCATCTGGTTATCTGTCAGATAACCTGAACGTCTTATTGGAAATGGCAGAGGAGTACATCGAATGATTATGAGAACAAACAGACCTTGTCCTTGCAGAACATCTGTTCTTCCCAGACATCACGGTGCTTTTCAAGTATTTCAGTCAGTGGACTATTACGGCACTGTTGTCCTGGCCACGCAGCATTGTCTTAGGCAGTACTGGGCCTAGGTTCTGCAGACCTAGAGGCTAGGCAGGGAGAATGAATTCTTCCAGCCCACCTCTTATTAGAACAGTGCGCTGAGGACTCGCAGGGAGCCACAGGAAGTCTTCTTGCCTCTAACTTTGATGAAGTTTGAGGAACCCTTTCATTCCTCAGAAAACTCCTCCTGTTTCCAAGCATTTCCATGCCTATCTTGCTCTACCCTGCCACCGCTGCTGTCCTTGCCCTAGGACTGATTTCGGACATCTCTGTGGCTGTAAGAGGAAGAAGTTGGGGAGGATACGTCCTAAGACCATTTCTTCCTCACTTATCTGATGGTCTGGCTACTCCAGCAGTATTCTTAGCGACAGCCCGTCATGTCACCTTGCTCGGCCCCCAGCCCCTACACCCTAGCGGCCAGGCTAGTGACTGCACATTAGAGTTCCTAGAGATTTGTTGAAGCCCGAGGCAAGTCACCTCTCCCGGTAGTAGCTAGTTAGGAGTTACGGGTACTGGTGCAGGAGGCAGCAGAGAGAGCTGGCCTGAGCTTGTGTTACTACTAACATAGCCCTTTTAAAGAGAAAGTGAGGCAGTCAGTATTTGTGTTTTCCTCCTCTGGCTTATTGAGTTAATAGTGTGTTATAGAGTAGGTTACCTTACCTCTGCTCCCCAACAGTGCTTCTGTGCTAATGTTAATGTCTATGGATATCCCTGCAAGTCTTCATTCCGCCAATGGTGGGGTATTCAGAAGCAAACAAAGGATTCCAGCTGGGCTTGCACCGGCTGTGATCCTTAGAACAACAAGAATTTCATCGATTTTGATGCCATGCAACCAACAGCTCAAGAAAAACAAGCATGGCCACTTTGCTGGGTGAGGCTGTCTCGTGACCCCTTAAACACCGCCTAAGGAGCTCACAGATAAACAGTCCCCGTGTCTCAGGAACCCGTTCATGGTGGAATATCCTAAGGGGGTGGAACAGGGTTCTCCAACCTGGCAATACTTTGATTTCTGCAACTTGGCCTCTTTTGAACTTCTTTATCACTCTTGCTCACTGACGTAGATGCCTGTATTTGCTGTTGTCATTGGCAGCAAGCAAATCGAGTTTTCGAATGTACCCTGCGTCCTTGGTTCTTCTTGTACTGTTGTAAACTTTTTTCCTTTGTCTCCTTCCTGGGATTTTTTTTTTCTTTTTTCCGTTTCATTCTTCTATTCTCTAGGGACCCTTTCCCTTCATTTGCTTTGTTACTCTAAGTGGCATGGCACAGTGCTTAGGTGCATGGGTTCTTAGTCAGGAGGTCTGGGTTCAAATCCCTACTCTGCTACTTACCAGCTGTGTAACCTTGAACAAATTACTTAATTTCTCTGTGAGCCTTGGTTTCCTCATCTGTTAAATAGGGCTACTAACAGTACCTACCCCTAGGGTGGTTGTGAGGCTTACATGAGATTTATGAGGTGCTCATTAAAGAGTGTCTGACACTCAATAAATGTTAACCTTTATTATTAATTTTAATATTACTACTAATAATGCTACTAATAGTAGTAATTTTATGGCTTAAACCATTCCCCCAGTGTAATTGACTACCAGATATTTACCTGCAGCTGTGATACTCTCTACACATTAGCCTTGATTTGCCGCTGGCCCTGGGACATTTCCCTCAGTTTCCCTGGCACCTCAGATGCACCTGGCCAAAGCTTAACTCATTACCTCTCATCTGAATTTATCCCCCACATTTCTGTAAGTGGCATCATGACGTCACAGTTTTCTCAGTCTCTTAATTTAGGATTACTCTTAGACTCTTTACTTTTCTTAAGGAGATAATCATGAATGTGTACAGATTTAGTACAAAGGTATTCATTGTTTATAGTTTTAAATAGCTGAGAATAAGGGATTGGTTAAATAAGCGACATTTACATTTATACAACGAAATCCTCTATAACCATTAGAGAGAAGAATATTCAATAATATGGAAAGAAATATTGGTGTCAAGTTGAGTTATAATACAGTACATACAGTATAATTCCATTTGATTCTTAGAAGTATATGGATGCATAGGTAAAAGATGAGAAAAATAGCTACTGAAAAAATTTTGTCGCAGCTTCTCTGTCTTGTAGGATTATGAGTGATTTTCTTATTTTAATTTTTCTCTCTTAAAAATTTTCTAAAATCATCCATACATTGCTTTCCTATAAGGAAAAAACTCTCTCAAATTTAGAAAAACATGAGATAGGTAATATCTAAGAGTCTTGCAAGTACTGTACTTTTATTGACCTTTTAACTGGCTGAGAAAAGTACTGGGTACATAGTAAGCGCTTAAATAAGTATTTGTTGAATAGTGAATGAAATAGTGTTATCTTTCATGCATTTTTAGAAATAACTTTGTAAAGTTGAGTGTTTAATGACTCAAGCATTCAATTTTTAGATTTCTTTGAAAAGTAATTTTTTTGTTTGGAAGAAAGATTCTCAATAAACACAAAATAAAGTAGAATGGGTGGTGGATGTTTTCTAATGTTATGTAACTTGCCATTTCAGAGGATAATGTGACCAAAAGAGAAGCATTTGGAACTGATTCTTCAGAAAACATACTTACTTCAATAAAATTTCCTCATGAAAATGAACCAAATGATCACCATCTTAGAAATAAAGCCATCTTTCTTCGTACCTTACCACAATGTTCAGAAGAGGAACAGGTAATACCATGGTACATTTGTAGAGACAGTCCGAGAAAGAAAAGCATTCTTCATGAATTAAAAAAAAGAGACCGTAAGAACACGAGCAACATTGGACAGTTACTGCATCAGTAACTCAGACTCCTAATTCTAGAAGGAGTGCCATTGGGATACTTTATGGAAAATCATCATCATATTTTATGATTTTAACAGACAGCGTTTATCATGGTAACGTGGTTATCCCTAATTTTTGTTAAAAAACTTCTTAAGGATCTGCCATCTATAGACTCTTCTTGAAATTATTTATGTATTTGAGCTTGTCCTCTATTTGAGCTTGTCCTCTATTTGATACCGAAAAAGTTCTTTTTTATAATTCTGTGTGAAATGGGAGTTTATTTTCCCTCTCCTGGATTCATCTCTTTTAGACTTAAAGTAGAGTCTGTTGTCTTCGTTTTTCCAAGATTTGATTCATAAATGTTGGACACTCTTTTCCTAATCTTCAAGACCTAATAGAGTGTATTCAGGTTCACCTTGACTATGGTTTTTAAGTATCAAGGAATCCTAGTGGAAGCTCTTCTTCTTTTTAAGCCATTTGAGTTTCTACTTTCCACTGCATCCTGTCTTCCCTGTGATATTGTGGACAGAATTGTATATGAGATTATGGTTTTATAGAAGGGAACAAAAATCTCTGTGTTAGAAATTTGTTTATATGCAGCAGAGGCCCACAATTCTTTAATTCCAGTACTTGCTTCCAGTGAGATGATTATGGGACAAGAACTTTTCTTTTTCCCTAGAGGATTCACTTTTATTGGTAATTATTGGCAATTGGACTTATATTTTCTTTTTTTAATGTGGATTTTTAAAATTAATTTTTTATTAAGGTAACGGTGTATAACATTATATAAATTGCAGGTGTGCATCATTCTATTTCAATTTCTGTGTACACTACATCATGTTCACCACCAAAGTCTAATTGCCATCCATCACCATGCACATGTGTCCTTTTACCCCTTTCACCCTCTCTCTCCCTTCCCCTCCGGTAACTGGAATTATATTTTCTATTGAGTCATTAACCAGCATGTGAGAGGCAAAGAATTGTTCGATGGTATTGTTTCTTGGTAACGTGAAAATGTGTGTTAGCATTCTCTGATGTGTCCTCCAGAGGTTCATCGGGATGGGATGGGAGATGGGTAATGAGGTGGGGAGTGTTCCTATTTTACACTTGAGAAAACTGAGGTCAAGTAATTTACTCTGGGTTACACCGTTGCTGAGTCTAGAGGACAGAAGTAGAAGTCAGACCTCCTGAAACCTATTCCTTGACCACTGCTATGACTTAGTGAATCCGGTCCTTCATGCATAGCTAATTAACGCAAACTGCAAGGGGAGTTTTATCACTTGAAGGGCTATAAGATGAGCTCCTTTTTTGTCGGTTGCTTCATTTCCTGTCAATATGTCCTCACTGTTTTTTTCAGATAGTGATGGATGAAGGCCAAAAAGTTGGCAGTTCCTTTCAAGGTGATCTGAGTCGGGCAGGAAAGGTGAAGGTAAGGCATGACGCAATTTTCTTCCGCGGCAAAGAAGCCCACAGGACTCATTTGCTGTCTCTCACACACGGTTGGAGAAGCCAGCAGATTTTGTCCTTGTACTTTTTTTTAAATTGGTGTTCGAGTATCTGAAACTGTCCTTGGTTGCTTGGGTTCTGGATCTTTTTTCCTCAAAGCTTAACCAATGGAAGGGGTGCTTCCATAGAGAAACCTGACTCCACTCCTCCTGAACATGCACCATTGAGAGAAATGACAGTGTTACAGAGCCTCAGGTTCTAGTACCGAAACCATCATATGGAAGATAAATTTTTGCTGTCACTTGGATGCCAAGAAATAAGGGCAGTTATATACTTAAAAGCGATGGAAGCTACCATTTTTAATTCCTGTGTAAGAGCCATGGCCTGGCAAGTGGAGCTGGGGGAAGAAAGACCCAGGCTATGTTGTGAATTCCAATTATGGGATCTAAATTTGTAATTTTATGATACTTCTTGTGTACATGTTTTAGGTCATGAGCATAAAAGGCACTTCAACATTATACCTTGACTTACTCTGCTAGGACTCCTTCCCACTGGTGGTGAAATCATTTTCTTGTTTACCCTCTTTGATATTCACCTGAGATAAATTAGTTCGGGTGTGAAATGTTACCATTTTGTTAATCTAAAATGTCTCATTGTCCGTGGAAAGCAGGATGCCACGTGGAACAGTTTTTCATTGAAATGCTGCTATTGTGTTTGTAGAGGCCATTTGCTCTGGATTTTACCTTTGAAGTCATTTTCAGTTTTATTTGCTTGAGAGAGAACACTTGACTTTTTGCCCCACTCACCTCTTTTGTGATTTACCTGGGGCAGGATGGTTTTGTTTTGAACGAACCTTTCTCTCTGGCTTTCTTTAGTTTCCTCTCTGACTCTTCAGAGTGAAAAGCTCGCTGTTATGACAGTAGCCATGCCCACCACCATCATTTGGTTGAAAAGCAAAACTAAAACAAAAACAGGGAAAGAGACACTGTTCTGCACTGTCTTGGTGGTGATAGGATTCTGGGATCGAATCTGCAACAAAGTCCCTTTTCAAAAGCTGCCCAGACTGTTTTTTCAGTGTAGAGATCTTACTATGGTGGCTACAAAATCCAGGCCAACTTCCAAATTTATTGGGTCTTTCAGACGTCCCTGGGAGAGCACGGTGAGCACAAAGACCTTGACCTGGGACTCAAAGTTAATGAGAAAAGTGGATTCAGTTGCTCACTTAAATGTTGTGCAAGTGGATTCATTGATTCTTGAAGTTTTTTCTTTAGGTCTAAAATGCATAAAAATGATGTTAATCCTTTTCTAGGTAGACAATTTCCTAGATTTGGAAGATTTGGACACGGATGAAGAGATTAGGCCCCAGATGCCCACAGGTATGCTTGCTGTTTCCTTTCTGTACTGCTTGACCTCTTTGTAGAAACTACAAATAAGACTTTAGACAGCTTTTCCTTTTTTTGGCAATCCCTGCCACCACCTTCCCTGAGATAAGGAAAACTAGAGTCATGCAGTTTCTTCTTTCATAACGAAGATTTCAGCTGAAAGGTCAAAGCCTGTTGAAGATTGTAAGGTCTTTGGTCTTAAATGAAGTAAAGGTGCTCCCCGTCGCCACAGTTTGCCAGGTGATTGATTTTTGGATAATTGTCTCAAGTAGAGCCATGTAAGTAAAATCTTTATTTCTTAGAAACACCATATTGTATATTGAGATGACTTTTGAGTGATACAGAAATATCAATTGATTATAAAAATCAGAAAAATAGCAGAATTGATCATAAAATAAACAAAAAGAAAATAAGATCCAAATTTTTACTTTAATAAATGTTTATCAACTATGTGAACCAAACATTTAATACTAAAGATGTTATAAATGATTCTTCTGGGCAATTTTCCCACAAGGAGTGGGCTGGGGGGGGCGCTTAAGGCTAGTCCACTGCTGTTTATACAGGTGAGGCCTTCTCCTTTCCTGGGTGACATTTCTGTGCAAGCATAGGTGTCCTTTGTTGTTCAAAGGCCCTTTGAAATATGTTCAAAATTAGGGTTATTTTGAAAACTCTGGTTCCTGATTTAATATGCAAGGATATCTCACAGTCAGTGTTGACTGGGGGCAGGGGCCGTTTCCATGGGGGTTTGGTGGCTGGCGTTCGTGTGGGTTACAGCCTTCACGTGGTCATAAAGTGGAGTCTGGGCCTTGTGGTTGGGGGAGGGAGGCTTATTTATAATCAGACAGGAGTTAGATCCCTGGGTGTAGAGTTCCGGGGACGGCGACTCTCTGTGAATTGCCGTATAAGCCCCTGCTCTGGCTTCTCCAGTTGACTGAATTTGAGAGGCTTTGGTACTTGGAAGCAATTAACATTTTTATTCCTCTTCGGAGCATCACACAACTCCACTGAGAGGATGATTTTTCAAGCACTCCATTGCCCGGTAGACTTTGCAGATTTTTCGGTACTTGCTTGGTTCAGATGAGATCAGAGATCTAAAGGAATCACATTTCCAGGGAGGGGTTCTCTTTACAGTAGCGTCCTCGGCAGCTGTGAGTTGCTATGTAAGAGCAGCCCAGGGGCTCCCGTTGGGTTAGGAGGGACAGGTAGGGGTTTATGAGGAAGCCGAGTTTGGTGAGCAGGTGCACTGTTTTGGGTGATTCAGGGAGAGGGGGCTTGTTAAAAATGCAGGTTCCTGGTCCTGTTCCCCAGAAAGAGTCTAATTCAGAAGGTCTTGTGGCGCCTAGTGATCCGTGTCTTTACCCGCTGCCCCGGGCGTTCTGACACAGGTCGTCTCTGTGACACTTGGAGACATGGTTCTAGTCTGCGTGTCGTATATTTGCAATATAAAATGAATTTTGTAGGCAGGCACAAAAGTGTATGGATTGGGCATTTTTGCAATGGTTTAAATTTCTTGCTTTCTGCCATAACGAGGGGGTCTGTATACTGACATCAACTGGCATAGCCAATGAATTGGATTTCGGTTATATCAATCTTTTGAATTAACTTTTTTACCTTTTCCGTTATTCTCACATTTTCTTTAAATGTTTTTTCAAGTCATGTTCTTTTATTACCAGACGTATTTCTTCAGTTTAAAAGATGGCATGAAAACATCTCAGTAGTATGGTTTTTCCAGAAATCAGATAACAGGCGGTCTTGAATTTGCGTCTAGAAGGTTACTGAGGCTGAGCCACGTCTCAGTGGACCGGAATGAGCCAGTCAGGACGTTCCCACAAATAACCCTCAAATAACATGACAAGCTTGGCTGAGAAGCAACTGGGCTTCAGTGATCTAGTCCAATTACCCAGAAGACCGCCAGGGCTCCGCAGTTTTCAGAATGCACAATCTGGGTCATTTGAAAGGAAAAAGAAATTAAATAGTTTGTGCCAAGGTGAATTTTAGTTTGAGCCTAATTTGTGTTACACTTTAGGAATGTGAGCAGAAGGCAAATATTTATATCAGATGGGAAATGTGACATTTTAAATAGGCAAGTTGCTTGTATAATTTTGGCAGCCGAGCGGTTTCCTGATTAGATTCCGTTGTTGTTTAAGCAGCAGATTTGCCTGGGGCGACAAGGAAGTGAGTTTCATATTGTTTTTCTACCACCGACTTTATTGGTTCACCTTATTTGCGTGCATGAATAGTCTCCGAGAGGCAGGAGCGTGATTCTTTCCCAGGATTTGGCTTGTCACTTTGGCAGCCCGGTGGAGACAGTCTTTCAGGGGGGCTGCCTCAGCGCAGCGGCACTGAGCAGGTGTCAGAGGGTGACACTGGCCACAAAGTTTGGTGCCCTGTGTTTATCTGACATCAAGTTAACCACTTCTCCTCCTTTGAGTTTGAGAGAATGTGGTTAACCTGCTGGTTATTGCTGTCACACCCCAGACTGCTATCCAGAAGATCGTCATTCAGAATAGGTATTATTCTGCCGAGGCCATGGGAGTAGGGCGATTGTCTGGTCATCTTTATTGTTCCTCTTCGCTTCGCCCAGCCTGTTCTCTGGCCGAGTGCCACTGGCTGACGAGGCTTTTTTGAGGTCTAGTTCTCACAATTATACTGTCTTAGACAAGTCTCTTGCCCAGAGGGTGTGTTTATGTGGTGGGTGATTGAGTTGGATGACAATGGGCAAGTGATTCCTGTTTGAAGATGGGCAGCCTCATCTGACTTCCATTTTCCAGCTCTCCAGTGCTCCCAATGCTAAGGAAGACAGCAGTCACCTCTTTTTTTAAAAAAATTCTTTTCTTATTGTCCACTTGACACAGGTTTATGCAAACTATGAATGACCTAGGCTTCTTCTTCAACAGCTGTGACTGGAGCCTGGCATATAATGAAAAATGAAACAGATTCAGTTCCTATTCTCATGGAATTCATAGTTTATTGGAATAATTAGACATTAAGCAGATAATCACAAATATGTGATCACAAATTGTTCTGATCTCATGAGACCCTATGGCAGGGAAACTTAAATTTGTCTGTGGGATCAGAGAAAGTTCTCTGAGTCCCTGAGATCTCAAGGATGGGTAACCATTAACTAGGCGAGGGGAGTGGAGTGAGAGTGAGGGGTGGCTAGGAGAGTATAGGAACAGCATGAGGAACAGCATGTGTAAAGGTCCTATTTCAGCTAACTTATCATTTAGGCATTTCATTTATTTTGCACTTAAGACTGTTAAAAATCATTCTTTCATTGCTTGGAAGATCACTAAAAACATTGAGAGGCAAAAATGCTTGCTTCAAGATGTTCCTCTATTCCCATTCCTCCAATTTTTGTATGTTCAAACTTATCCATCTGTTAAGGTCCGTCTTGAAAGCCATGTCAACTGCAAGGGCAGACCTGCTGCCCAGTCCTCATGACTGCATGAGGAAACTTCCACTCCACTCCTGAGAAGAGAACAGCCTTGCGAAGATAATTCTGCCTTTTCAACAGTTAATCCACCTGTTTCTCCCCAAGGGAAAAGGAAGGCTTTCCTTAATTGGAGACACTGGGAAAAGACACTGTGTGTATAAGGATCAGCCCCTTCGTTTCTTCTTTGGGCTTTGTGCTGTTTGGAAGGGATCTGTCCTCTTCTCTGTGCCTGTGCCACTTTTCTTATAGTACACACACTTTAGACAGGGCCCAGGCCTGCCTTATGCAGTGGCTTTCAACCTTAGAAAGGCGTCGGAGTCACTTGAGGGGCTTTAAAAAGAATACCTCGGATCCTTGGATCCTGCCTTTGGAGATTCCTTTTCAGTGGTCTGGGGCGTGTCGTGGGCATCGGCGGTCTCTACAGCTCCCAGGTGATTCTGATGCAAGTGGAGGCCGAGAGCCATCTCTAGGCAGACGTCTGGAGGCATTGCTCTCGGAGGCCCTTCTCTCAGGGCTCCGAGGCAGGTGAAGCAGCTCGCCCACACCTGGCTGGATGCCTGTCAGCTGTGCGGGCTTCTCTCAGGTGGGAGAGCCCGAGGTAGGAAAGCTTGATAAATAAGAAGTCAATTGTGCCTGCAGGACGTGCTCCATTTTCAAATTCAGTTTTATTAGTTATAAAGCTCAGTTTGATCTGCATCTTTCTGACTCCTGTATATATTTCTCTTTTATTTCTGTGCTTAGAGATGGGGGATATCATTTATTATCACTGTCAGATGTCAGTCGCACTCATGAAATGATTCCTCTCTGATCTTCCCCACGTTCTCCTTGGATGGGCAGTAATCTTTCTCTTTTGCACTCCACTTTTATTTATTCTGCAGTTTTTTTCTTCAAAGTGTGTTTTAGTTAATGTGTCTTTTGAAAGCAGCATATGGTTTACACATACATATATATCCTAAAATTTTGACTTTCAATTGGGGATTTAGTCCATTTACATTTAATGTAGTTGCTGAGATATTTGGCTTTAAATCTATTATCTTACTATTTTGTTTTCTACTTGTCCTACCAGTTACCTGTTTTTTCTCTCATTTCTTGCCTGTTTTAGACTAATCAAGTATTGTGTTATTATTTCATTGCCCCCTATTTTTGCTGGGTTGAAAATTCTAGGTTTATAGTTATTTTCTTTCAATATTTTAAAGATGTTATTCTATTCTTTTCTGGTGTTAATTGTTGAAAACCAGACAGAAATCTGATTGTCATTCCTTTGAAGGTGTAGTGTGTTTCCCTCAGTTGGCTGCATTTGTGACTTGGTTTTCAGGGATCTGACTGTGCCTTGCTGGTGTTTGACTGGGCTTTATTTTGGTTGGGGTTTGTAGAGATTCTCATGAGTGTTGGGAGAGTCTCAGCTGTTGTCTTTTCAAATATTGCCTGTGCCTGGACCCTTTTCACCTCACTCATGGATCTCTTACACTCTTTTTTTGCATTTTCCATTCTTTTATATTTCCTTTCTTGCTTCAGTTAGCATATTTTCTACTATCTATATTCTAGTTCACTAATCCTT